CATCGGGCTCCCTGCTCAGCGGGAGGCCTGCTTCTCCCTCTCCCATTCCCACTGCTTGTGTTCCCTCTCTCGCTGTCTCTCTCTGTCAAATAAATAAATCTTTAAAAAAAAAAAAAAGAAGTCTGAAGGACGGAAAGAAGGTCACCTAGGGACCTGAGGACTTGAAGAACAACAGGGTAACAAATTCCCTGGATTTCCTTATTGCTTCCCATACAATCCTGGATAGGATACTGCAGAAGCCTCCAACAAGGAATTGATTAAAAAAACAAACAAACATGCACAAATTAAAACAAAAACAAAACAACCCAAATCCAAGAAATGTCTGTTGCAAAAGCCTGGAAAAGAGGTGGCCTAACAGAAAATGTTGGCAATTTACTCAAAGAGCAAGAGAAAAACTGCTACTTTCCCTTCCCCAAGGTCAGTGAGACTAAATAGGGAGTGCTCTTCTACCCTACTCCCACTGAAGCAGGAGGCAGCAGTCCAATTCCCTTGACCCTTGACAGCGATCAGACCCAGCAGGGTGCTGCCAGGATGGTCCAGTGGTGAGCTGAGCCCCTACCCTGACCTGGCAATAACAGGTGGAAAGAGAAAAAACAAAGTAGTGGGAAGTAGCACTCTACTTTCTCCCAACCCCCTCTTACAATATGGTGGCAACTAGTATGGGTCTCTTCACTCTTAGATGACAAGAATAAAAGAAAGAGGAACCCTACAGGAGCTGGAACCTATGACAAATTACTCTAGAAAGAAGCTATGAAAGTAGTAGGCAGCTCTTGTAAGAGAAGCTGCCAGAGCAAAGACCTACCTGAAGCCACAAAGGCTTTAGCTATCAAACCAAACTGATACAAGTCCTCAAGATAAAAACCAAGATAAAAACCAAGATAAAAAAGCACTGCCTCCAAGAAAAGATTCAGCTGAATCACATATAAACATCCTAGCCAATGTCTGGGAAATAAGAATGTTAAGTGAAACTATGACTAAAATAAGTATTAATAAGAAATAGAGCAACATTTATATATCTAGGAATGTTTTTAACCAATTTACTCTATTAAGATTATCTAGTTTTATTATTACTATTATTTTTTTTAAAGATTTTATTTATTTATTTCACAGAGAGAAACACAGCGAGAGAGGGAACACAAGCAGGGGGAGTGGGAAAGGGAGAAGCAGGCTTCCTGCCGAGCAGGGAGCCTGATGCGGGGCTCGAT